AAGCTCATATATGCTGTGAATAGGCTGTGAAGGGAAAAAACATGCATAGTAAGTTTTGAATAGGCTTTCAAGTGAGTTCTCTTACGTTCTTAAAAGCATGGTGTGCTAGAAGTGGAGCAGGAAGAGCTGGTGCTGGCGGCGTGTGTTATCGGAGGCCTTGTTCATTGCTCTCCACCTCGCGGTGGTCCATGGCCATTCCATCCCCTGCCGCCGCTGGTTCAACTGCTGTGGTGGTGCCATGGTTTTTTTCCATGTGCTAGAAGTTTTGCGGTTTTTGCCATAAGCACCTTTGTTTTCTTTCATACTGCTGTGGTGGTGCCAATTCTTTCATAATGCTGTGGTGGTGACCCAAATTCTCAGTTCAGTCTTCAATTTGGCTTTACGATCGAAGAAGTCAATGCATGGTTGATGTTTTCCACATCAAATATGTAATAGCCCCCGCAAATATAGAGGAAGATAGGTGGTTATCTGTTGTTTCATCACCACAGGACATGTTTCTAGTGTTTCGTTCATAAATCTTTTGTTAATCTTGATGGGACATGCCCAAGAATCTGGATGTAGTAATGAACAAATTGAAATTTGTTGTTGTCTGACACACATCAGAATGTTTGATTCAGTTACTGTATATTTTAGAAAAAAACAACATCACCCCCTTGAGGTTTGGAGAGGTGTCCACTTAACCCCCAAAGTATAAAACCAGGTATTGAACACATTAAAGTTTGTAAAACGGGTAGACTTTTTCCTGTATATTTTTGTTGAAAATTAAGGTTATCGGGTATAATTTTCTGCTTGCAGAACCTCATTTTTGCTGTACTTTGTTTGAGTGATGACATTATGAATTCTGCCAGTCCATATGTTCAGAAAGAAAGAATTTTATAGGCCATTTCTCTATACAAATTTGCTGATCAAGTCCGTAACAGATGTTGCAGTTGTCTCCATCCATGTCTGCAGCAAGCCAGCAACAATTGCATTGTTGTGCTGCTCTATCAGACTGATAGCAATTCATGGCCCAGTGCCATCGCACACTGGCTTCACGCCTCCAGTTGCACTTCACGTCTCTAACTATGGCAACCAGCTTCTGTGTGATTTCCATCTTTTGGGGGTTTGATTCGTCTGCAACCTGTGGATTTGTAGCTTCTATTGATGAGGTGACTAGGTAGTGGGGAGTTATACAGTTTTTCATTTCCAGTTTTTTATATATAGGTCTTGTAGTCTTCTATATGCATGGTCCTCCCATGCTCCCTTGCTTTGTAGGTACCGCGATGGGGGAGATCTGTAGATACAGTTTACACAACCAAAGAGGGAAGGGGAAATGATTAGAAGAGGCCCCTATCTGTAAGCCTGCTTGAAAATGCTAGATGCTCTCATAATAGAGACATGGGTTTATAATACCCCTTTATTTTGTTCTTAGCTGTCTAGTGATATTTTTTGGTAGTCTGTCTAGCAGTGAACAATTTTCTATTTAGTCACCGAAAGCAAAAGCATAAATGATAAGAAATGCATGGCAACTCAGCTACTAAGTATTGGAGCAGAGAAGGCAGGATCAGTCTGCGCTAACTGAGATACCATGTAGACGAGAGGAATAGGAGCCAACAACTGTTTGTATTGCTCTCTGAAGAATACATATACCGATTACAAAACTGTGCACGCAGGAGCGCACGAGTGCAGATCGTGGGCGACGTCGTGGCCACCACACGAACGCTATCACTCTAACCGACTGAGGCCAATGCCCAATGCTACCAGTTGAAATTAGACTCGTACATACGTACAGGCAATATATTAATTCCAAGTATAATAAGTTATATTACAAAAAAAAGCAATCGTGCATGCCGCATGCGACTGCCTTTCAAAGAACGGAGCCTGTTATAGTTTTCCAAACATACCGGCACGGCGCTACATGGCACTAGCCCGCCCCGGCACGACATGCCTGGGCACGGCACGCTAGGCACGGCTGATGAACCGTGCCGTGCCGTGTCGTGCCACCGTGCCCGACTCCAGGCCCAGGCACGACACTATCATTTCTGGAGCGTGCCGTGTTGTGCCGTGCCGACTCCAGGCCCAGCGTGCCCGTACCGGCCCAGGCACTAAACTGGCAAAACCCCTCAATGAACTCAGCACAACAATTCAAAGATATCTAAAATGACTAAGTTCACAAAAGATCAAAAACAGATCAGAACACAGTACAGTAAAGAACACAAACTTTTGAAACTAAAACTAATTTAAGTAGGAACTTTGCAATGGCTGCCTCATTAAAAACCTGTTTAGTTAAAACTCACCCTTGTGAGAAACTCTAAACAGGAAAAGAGTATAGCTAGCTCCTAGATTAATTGTTCATTACATCCATCACCACAAGTCCTAGTCTCAGTTATTACAGAACCATTACATAGATGGGAAGTGAACTATTCGACATCAAGATAAAGACCAGCAAAGGCCTCTTCCAGCTCCTTGTCCTCCACCATGTGCTGCAGTCCTATCTCAGCATTCTCCCAATCCTTGATGTAGGTAAGTGCCTCTACAGTTTCAGGGTTCAGCCTCCGCCGCCGCTCCTCGATGATCCTGCCAGTTAAGCTAAAAGTAGACTCTGAAGACATGGTTGACACAGGCACTGTCAAAATATCTTTAGCAAGAACAAAAAGTACTGAATAAATAAGCTTGTGCTCATGCCACCACTGCATAATGTCAAACTTATCATCCAACTGTCTTACTGAGTCACAGTCCAGGTAGGATGCAAGTTCACTAGAGTTAGAACTAGCAGTTGCTGCCTACAGCAAGGAAGTGGCAGAAACACTCCTAGAATGATCAAGACTAGAAGAGAGGGAAGAACAGCCAGCTCCAACATCCAACTCCTCATCATCATAAATTTCAGCCCAAGCTGTTCTTTTCTTACCAGACAGGGATGGAGGAACAACCCTTTTCAGCCTATTAGAGCCATACATTACATCATACCTGTTATACATTTTAAACAGAAGAGCTCTGGTGTCCAGCAACTTATTAATGTAGTCAATATTAAAAAGAGAATGTAACTTCCTAAGCACTTTGGTAAATCCCTTAATTTTAGCTCTTGGATCCAATATGAATGCAATAGAATAAAGATCAGGTATGTTCTTCCAATACTTATTGTATTTGTCAATCATAGGTTGGATAACAGATCTTAGATATTCATAATGTTGATACCTATGCAGGTGTATAGCAATCTTAACAAGATGATGAATCATAAGTGGAAAAGTAGGATAGTAAACACCAGACAAATCAACAGTTGAGTCATAGAATAGTTCAAAAAATTCCAAGATTTTATTTACCATAGCTCAGTGATCATCAGTCAAAAGAAAACCACTACCTGAACCTCTAGGGTAATTGGCCTCAATGAAAGTTCTGAAAGTACTCTTGTGAGGCAGCAAGTGCTTAAGCATTAGGTAGGTAGAGTTCCATCTAACATCCATGTCTAATCTAAACTTCCTAGGTCTAACACCACTAGCAATGCAATAACTCTTGTATGTAGCAATTCTTTGATTAGAGGAGTACATAAAAGAGATTGCTGTTCTAAAATCCTCAATGAGCAGAATAAGCAGAGTAGCGCTTATGGCAATGAAGGCAAGTGGCAGCAAACCTGATCTTTCTACCTTTCTCAGTTTTGTAGTGCTTCTCAAAGTCCTCCTAGACAGCAGACGTGGAAGGGCGATTAGAACCGACAGGGCTAACCTCGCTCTGGTCACCGTCAGCATCAGCCACGTCGACTGGGGAGTCAGAGTCGTCGACGGGAAGGGGATCAGCAGCAGAACGGCCAAAGAGCACGACAGCGTCCTCGCGGACATCATCGTCCTCATCATCTCCGGCCATCCCGCACATACGCAGCTCTTCGTTCTGGGAGTGGTCAAACTCCCCGTCGTCGTGTCACCCGGTGCCTAGGGCCATCTCTGCCGTTCCGGTTCCTCGACGGCTGCCACAATCAACAGATAAAAGCAGGGTTAGGTTGGGGATTAGGGTTTCGGTTAGGATTAGGGTTTACCCTTACCTCTACGGCCGGAGCCCCATAAACGACGACGATGAGACGGACCGATTGCACACCCCCGGTACCTCAACGGAGACCGGAGCCCCGGAGGTGGCGGCAGCCAGCGATGTGGACGACGGATAGATGATGGAGATGCGGCGAGGATGCCGAGAACGAGGCTCAATTGACGTTCAGGGATGAAGAATAAGGGAATAGAAGGAGATTGAGGGCGGGAACCACCAGATATGAGGGAGATTGAGGGCGGAGAGGGAGAAGAGGGAACCACCGGCCACCGGAACTGACCCCTTACCTGCCGGAAGACTCCATGGTGACGGCGTCGAGGAGCCCAGGTTACGAGTGCGGCGACGAGGAGCTAGGGTTACGAGTGCGGTGAGGAGCGGGTGAGCGACAGAGTGAGCGGGGAGAGCCGGAGAGGAGAGGGCGAGAGGCTAGGGCTACGAGTGAGGGTAGTGGCCGAGTGGGGAAAGCAGCCGCACGATGCGGCTTATATATCGGCCGCCTGGCAATCCAATGGCTCATGCCCTGCCTCCACGATCTGACGGCTGCGAGCCGTGCCGCCCGTTGGAATGGGCCGTGCCTAGGCCGGCACTATGGGCCAACCTTTCGGCCTAGGCACGGGCACGGCTATGGGCCGGGCCAGGCACGGGCACGGGCAAGGTCGGGCCGTACCGGGCTAGGGCCATGCTTTTTCGCACCGGGCCCGTGCCAGCCCATTTCGCGCAGCCCGTTTGGAAATTTATAGAGCCTGTGTCTGGCAGCAACGGGCCTTGTTTGTGACGTGCTTCATGCAGCAAACTCCCCCCACGTATGCGTACGTCCTAATACTGCCAATACACGCACCCATTCGTATCGCACTCGCACCTGGCCATATCCAGTTTCCTCCGCCTCCTCGCTTCCTTAATTATTCACGGCCCTCTGTCTGTCAATCTGTTTTGACTGCAGGATGGAAGGGGTTAGGGCCGGTGACATCTAGATGGAGAGGAACGAGGCGATGGTTGATTTGGCCGGCGGTTTATTGGCGACCAAGCCCACAGCGGAGGCCCAGCCGACCGGGGCCAGGGCCAGGATGAAGAGGAAGGAGGCCACCAGCATGTCGTCGGAGGCCGATGACTACCATGACCATGAACTAAAGAAGAAGGAGGCCAGCCCATCGGAGGACGACGCTACCGCCCTCAAGAAGGAGGGTGATAGCTTGTTCAAGGAGGGTGAGATGCTGAAGATGAGGGAGGAGTTATGGGAGGCGGAGCGTCTATGGAGGGAGAAGCTTGTCCCGGGGGGCGTTGGATCGCTGGTTGAAGAGGAAGAAGACCACGCAGGTGCCTGCTGTCGACAAGAATAAGAAGAACAAGAAGGTGGTCAGGCTAATTATGCCGGATGCTTACATCGATTATATTATTGAATTGAAAATCCTGGCATGATGAAAGAACTCTCTGACGAGGAGATGGCCAAGTGTCCTAAGGAATACCGCCAAATGTATGCCATTAACAAGGTCATCAATGCTAAGAACCTCGCATATTAGCAAGCCCTCATCGCTCAGTACCGTGCTATTGGCTATGCCTATGACGAAAAGGAGGTCACGGACGACGATGAGGAGGTGGTGGTGAAGAACTAGGTAGGAAGCAAAGGGGTGGTTCAATAATTTACAAGCAGCATGTGTTTAATTTGTCCAAGATCAACAGCTACCCTAACTCCCTAAGTAGTTGTACTATCATGTCTTTGTGTGATCCACCTATATATTCTAAGTGTGTGGTGTCTGCTCATTACTATGGTGTAAGTGTAATCATCATCTTGGTGTTATCATCTTGGACCTTATTTGCTACTATTGTTTCCTATATAGTATCTGTATGGTCCTGATGTTTTGCTATTTGTATGGTTATCCACTGTTCCATCACCACAGCAGTGCGACACACGTACCAAGAAGCAAAGAGCTATTTGGAGCACTAGTAGAGAACAGACCTTTGATCCTCGGTCAAAATGGGCTCTAGTCCCGGAATTTTTTGCGCCTGGGACTAGAAATACCTTTAGTCTCGGTTGGTGGCTCCAACCGGGACTAAAGGTCCCTGCCCAACGGCTACTGCGTCAGACAGAGGTGGCAAGGATCTTTAGTCCCGGTTGGAGCCACCAACCGGGACTAAAGGTATACTTTTACTCCCGGTTGGTGGCTCCAACCGGGAGTAAAGGTCTACTCCCGGGCCGTGGCTGCGCCCGGGGTTGGAAAGTTACCTTTAATAGCGGTTGGAGCCACCAACCGGGACTAAAGGTCCCCCCTTTATATTCCGGCCGTCTCCTTCCTCCCCGAGCCCAAGCTCAGCACATTTTGAAGCTCACTGCAGTAGTGTTCTTGCTTCCTCCCTCCCTCCATTGTTCCTCCATCCATTCTTTGATTCCTCCGTCGATTTCTTCGATTTCTCCGTCGATTCTTCAGTTGTAAAGGTTACCAATCTCATACTCTCATTTTTCACCATTGTCTTATCTCATTTTGTTCACTATATATATATGGTTCTTTATTGTGGTTTTTTTCATTTGTAAGCAATTTGAGCTTAAAATCACTTCAAGCTTGCATATTTACATGAAAGAAGGTTAAAGTAGCTAGTTGAACTTGCGGACCGTGTTCATCTCGGCGACCATGTTCTTTGCCGAGCGGTAACGGACGTCAAGGAGGAGCTTTGATTCTACGAGGGAGAGCGGCAACGGTCGTGGAAGACCGTGTTCCCTTCCTCGTAGAATCGAAGCTCTTCCGTGGCAAGTACGGTGCCGTCCAGTGGAGAAATGCTCGCCGAGATGATCACGTAAGCAAGTTCAACTAGTACGGATGGTTATTTATTCATATGTCCCAATATCGTCACAGTAGTCTGTCAATCACCGTACTTTTTATTTTAACTTTTTATGAAATAAAAACTTAGAAAATAGTTAGAAAATTATAGAAAATCCGTACTAGTTGAACTTGCGGACCGTGTTCATCTCGGCGACCATGTTCTCTGTCGAGCGGTAACGGACATCAAGGAGGAGCTTTGATTCTACGAGGGAGAGCGGCAACGGTCGTGGGAGACCGTGTTCCCTTCCTCGTAGAATCAGAGCTCTTCCTTGACCAAGTACGGTGCCGTCCGGTGGAGAAATGCTCGCCGAGATGATGACGTAAGCAAGTTCCACTAGTACAGATGGTTATTTATTCACATGTCCCGATATCGTCGAAGTAGTCTGTCAATCACCGTACTTTTTATTTTAACTTTTTATGAAATGAAAAACTTAGAAAATAGTTAGAAAATTATAGAAAATCCGTACTAGTTGAACTAGCGGACCGTGTTCATGTCGGCGAGCATGTTCTCTGCCGAACGGTAATGAACGTCAAGGAGGAGCTTTGATTCTACGAGAGAGAGCGACAACGGTCGTGGAAGACCGTGTTCCCTTCCTCGTAGAATCGAAGCTCTTCCTTGACCAAGTACGGTGCCATCCCGTGGAGAAATGCTCGCCGAGATGATCACGTAAGTAAGTTCAACTAGTACGGATGGCTATTTATTCACATGTCCCGATATCGTCGCAGTAGTCTGTCAATCACCGTACTTTTTATTTTAACTTTTTATGAAATGAAAAACTTAGAAAATAGTTAGAAAATTATAGAAAATCCATACTAGTTGAACTAGCGGACCGTGTTCATTTCGGCGAGCATGTTCTCTGCGGAGCGGTAACGGACGTCAAGGAGGAGCTTTGATTCTACGAGGGAGAGCGGCAACGGTCGTGGAAGACCGTGTTCCCTTCCTCGTAGAATTGGAGCTTTTCCGTGGCCAAGTACGGTGCCGTCCGGTGGAGAAATGCTCGCTGAGATGATCACGTAAGCAAGGTCAACTAGTACGGATGGTTATTTATTCACACGTCCCGATATCGTCGTAGTAGTCTGTTATGTGTGTACACTCCCATTCTTCTGTTAATTTGCGGAAATATCATGTGAATTACTTACCCGCCGCATGAGAAAAGAGATTTAGAACACAATGACCATTAAAAATATCATTGTTTAGAGATTTAGATAATTTTATAGTTTCTTAATTTTATTTGTTTATAAAAGGAGAAATTTATAGTGTATTAAAAAATGAGTATAGAGAGTAGATGGCAACAGCTTCCAGGTCCTCGGCCTCTCATGGGTTTCCAAAGCGACTTAGGTCGGGCCTCCCTCTCATTCCATGCGGCAAATGTCGTGATGAGATGAAGATTGTGATGGAGTACCGAGTGAAGAAGGAGGGTCCCAACAAGGATCGTATCTTCTACAAGTGTCCGGATCACAACGTGAGTTATTTTATCGTATTTAATGATTATGGTTAGTTTATACCTATTTTCATGATGGTTGTGATTAAGGTTCTAATTTTTTGTTTTAATTTCAGTGGAATGGCAGTGGACGATGTTCAGGCTTCTACTGGGAGGAAGAGTATGTTGAACTCGTGCAAAAATATCTTACACAACAGGCAGATACGACGGCTAATGAGGCAGTGATCCAACCGAAGAAGCCCAAAGATGTTGCACAATCAGGGGATCTGTCTGTTTTAGTTGAGATTGGTCGTGAAATCCTAGTGCTACTGAAATGTATTTTAGCTTTAATTCTTTTAGTGGTAGTTGGGATTGTCTACATTGTAGCGATGCTTTCATAAATTTGTATATTTTGTGGTGGCACGCATGTTGTATAAATAATTAATTATGATCTCGGTTTTAATATGGTATTTATGTCATGTAATGCAGATGAGCCGTCATTGGATGTATAATGCTAATCGCCGCTCCCAAGAGTTCATTGACGGCATGCATTCTTTGTTACGTGCGGCCGAGGCAAACAAACGCTACGGTTTCATGTGCTGCCCATATGCCATATGTAAGAATACGGTGGAATATCCTTGCTCAAGGACTCTTCATTCACACTTGTTCAAGTCGGGTTTCATGCCAAACTATATTTGTTGGACAAAGCACGGAGAAACCGGTGTTGTAATGGAAGAAGGTGAAGAAGAACAATGGGACGACAATGATATTATTCCCGATGGTGCGTGCTTCAATGATACTGCAATGGGAGAAGATGAAGAAGAGGTAGCCGCAGAAGATAAGCCAGCTGATGATCTTTCTCAGGTCATTCGTGACGCACAAAGAGAATGTGAAAGTGAAAAGGAGAAGATCAAGTTCGAGCGGATGCTAGAAGATCACAAGAAATTATTGTACCCAACTTGTGATGCAGGCGAAAAAGTTGGGAACCACACTAGAATTGCTGCAATGGAAGGCAAAGAATGGTGGTGTATCGACAAGGGATTTGGAGAGTTACTAAAATCCAAAAGAAGATGCTTCAAAGGACAATGAATTGCCCGCCACTACCTACGAAGCAAAACAAGTTGTCTCATCCTATGGGGCTAGAAATAGAGAAGATACATGCATGTCCTAATGATCGCATCTGTCTGATCGGCAAAAGAGTACGCGAAATTGGATGCATGCCCGGTATGCCATGCGTCATGATATAAGATCAGTGAGATGACCCCGGTGATGTTGAGGGACGTCCGCGAAGAAAATCCTGCCAAGGTTATGTGGTATGCTCCTATAATACCACGCTTGAAACGTCTGTTCGTAAACAAAGAACATGCAAAATTGTTGCGATGGCACAAAGAAGACCGTAAGGTAGACAATATGTTGAGACACCTGCTGATGGGTCCCAAAGTGGAGAGCAATCGACAGAGAATTCCCGGAGTTTGCAAATGACGCAAGAAACTTAAGGTTTGCTTTAAGTACAGATGGTATCAATCCTTTTGGAGAGCAGAACATTAGTCATAGCACTTGGCCTGTTACTCTAAGTATCTACAACATTCCTCCTTGGTTATGCATGAAGCGGAAGTTCATTATAATGCCTGTGCTCATCCAAGGCCCGAAGCAACCTGGCAATGACATCGATGTGTACCTAAGACCACTTATTGACGAACTTCTCATTTTGTGGAATAAAGAAGGTGTACGTGTGTGGGATGAGTACAAACAGGAACACTTTGATCTGCGAGCATTGTTGTTCGTAACAATTAATGATTGGCCTGCTCTAAGTAGTCTTTCAGGATAGTCAAATAAGGGATATAATGCATGCACACACTGCTTCGGTGATATTAGAGGTGTATTCTTGAAAAAATGTCGAAAGGTCGTGTACCTTGGCCATCGTCGATTTCTTCCTGCAAATCACCCCGTAAGAAAGAAAGGCAAGCATTTTAAAGGGAAGGCAGACCACCACCCAAGCCTCTTAAAATCGAACCGGTGAGGATGTACTCGATATGGTCAATGATGTGAAAGTCGTCTTTGGAAAAGGACATGGAAGCCAACCTGTTCCGAACGACGCTAACGGTCACGCACCCATGTGGAAGAAGAAGTCCATATTTTGGGACCTACCCTATTGGCAAGTCCTATTGGCATGGCTATTGCTTAAAACAGGCGGGAAACGAAACTGCAGGCCACCTTTACTCCCGGGTGGGAAGCCCACCCGGGAGTAAAGGTGGGCTGCAGTTTCGTGGCCCGCCAAAAAAA